GCCAGTGGCCAATCCAGTCCAACACTCTGTGTCATACAGTGGACAGAACCCAGGGGCCATCAGGAGGTCCACCAGCAGGGCCAGAGATCCAGAAGCCCTCCCATTCTTGCCCCCCAAGCACCAAGAAGACAGAGTATCACTACCCCACACAGAGAGTTCCATTTATACCTGGTGGCTAATAGCCACTGGTGGACCTCTGCTTTTAAGAACATAAGAGAAGCCATGTTGGACCAGGCCAATGGCCCATCCAGTCCAACACTCTGTGTCACACGGTGGCCAAAACCCAGGGGCCATCAGGAGGTCCACCAGCGGGGCCAGAACTCCAGAAGCCCTCCCACTCTCGCCCCACAAGCACCAAGAAGACAGAGCATCACTGACCCAGACCGAGAGTTCCTATCTATACCTTGTGGCTAACAGCCACTGATGGACCTCTGCTCCAGATGTTTCTCCAACCCCCCCTTGAAGCTGTCCATACTTATAGCTGCCACCACCTCCTGCGGCAGTGAATTCCATGTGTTAATGACTCTTTGGGTGAAGAAGGACTTCCTTTGATCGGTTCTAAGCCTATTGCTCATTAATATCATGGAGTGCCCACGAGTTCTTGTACTGTGAGAAAGGGGGGGAAAGCACTTCTTTCTCTACCTGCTCTCTCCCATGCATAATTCTGTAAGCCTGCATCATGTCACCCCTTAGTCGTCGTTTCTCCAAGCTAAAGAGCCCTTACCTCTTCCCCTTAATCATTTTAGTTGCCCTTTTCTGCACCTTTTCCAACGCTATATCTTTTTTAAGGTGCGGTGAGTGACCAGAGCTGTACATAATATTCCAAATGGGGGCATATCATAGATCTATAGAGTGGCATTACGATACTGGCAGATTTGTTTTCAGTCTCCTTCCTAATAATCCCCAGCATAGCATTGGTCTTTTTATTGCTACCGGTTCCTACGGTTGCCAACTTCCAGGTGGGGCAGAGGTGGTTGGCCGTTGCTTTCTTCTGCAGAGCCTTCCTTGGTGGCCTCCCATCCAAGTACCGACTCTGCTTAGCTTAGACTTATGGTGATCCCAGCAAGGGGCTTTCAAGGCAAGGGAGAAGCAGAGGTGGTTGGCCATGGCCTTCCTCTGCAGAGCCTTCCTTGGTGGCCTCCCATCCAAGTACCGACTCTGCTTAGCTTAGACTTATGGTGATCCCAGCAAGGGGCTTTCAAGGCAAGGGAGAAGCAGAGGTGGTTGGCCATGGCCTTCCTCTGCAGAGCCTTCCTTGGTGGCCTCCCATCCAAGTACCGACTCTGCTTAGCTTAGACTTATGGTGATCCCAGCAAGGGGCTTTCAAGGCAAGGGAGAAGCAGAGGTGGTTGGCCATGGCCTTCCTCTGCAGAGCCTTCCTTGGTGGCCTCCCATCCAAGTACCGACTCTGCTTAGCTTAGACTTATGGTGATCCCAGCAAGGGGCTTTCAAGGCAAGGGAGAAGCAGAGGTGGTTGGCCATGGCCTTCCTCTGCAGAGCCTTCCTTGGTGGCCTCCCATCCAAGTACCGACTCTGCTTAGCTTAGACTTATGGTGATCCCAGCAAGGGGCTTTCAAGGCAAGGGAGAAGCAGAGGTGGTTGGCCATGGCCTTCCTCTGCAGAGCCTTCCTTGGTGGCCTCCCATCCAAGTACCGACTCTGCTTAGCTTAGACTTATGGTGATCCCAGCAAGGGGCTTTCAAGGCAAGGGAGAAGCAGAGGTGGTTGGCCATGGCCTTCCTCTGCAGAGCCTTCCTTGGTGGCCTCCCATCCAAGTACCGACTCTGCTTAGCTTAGACTTATGGTGATCCCAGCAAGGGGCTTTCAAGGCAAGGGAGAAGCAGAGGTGGTTGGCCATGGCCTTCCTCTGCAGAGCCTTCCTTGGTGGCCTCCCATCCAAGTACCGACTCTGCTTAGCTTAGACTTATGGTGATCCCAGCAAGGGGCTTTCAAGGCAAGGGAGAAGCAGAGGTGGTTGGCCATGGCCTTCCTCTGCAGAGCCTTCCTTGGTGGCCTCCCATCCAAGTACCGACTCTGCTTAGCTTAGACTTATGGTGATCCCAGCAAGGGGCTTTCAAGGCCAGTGATTAGGCAGAGGGAGTTGGCCACTGCCTTCCCCTGCACAGCCTTCCTTGGTGGTCTCCCACAAAAGTACTGATCCAGCTTAGCTTCAGAGACGGGTCTGTATCATGTTGCCTTCCCTCCCGGAGCTTCAAAGTCATGGAGGTATAAATATTTGCTAGATTTGTTTTTGGGGGGGGGGGGGGGGGAAGAAGGCCATTTAATTAGTCCAAATAGTTCTCTCCCATTCTCTTAGTTTTTTAAATTCCAGCGACGGCTTGCGAAAATTAAAACGACAGACTGGTGAATTTTAGACACAAAAAAACCCACAAGGAAACAGTAAACATTTTCCGTTGAGAATAACAGCAGACCTCTCCGAGTTCTAAACATCAGGCTATAATCATCCTTGATTTTTAAAAAACCAAGGCTCAGAGAAAATGAGGAGAGCCAGACAATTCGAACTAAATTAAATTCTAAAATACCCCATATCCCCCCCCCCCCCCGGTTGCTTAAATCAGTGGCAGGGAACATCAGTAACATGGCAGGAAAAGAAATCAAGATTTACTGAGGTTCGGAGTGTTGGAGTGAGCGTCTCACTGGGGAGTCTCTACATCACTCAAAGGGTTTATGGGTGTTCTCTCCAGAGAGCCGGTTTGGTATAGTGGTTAGGGTTGAGAGCGTGTGACTGGCCCAAGGATACCCAGCGAGCTTCCAGGGCATGAGCAGGGGTTTGAATCTGGGTTTTCCAGGTACTAGTCCAGCACTCTTAGCCACCACACCGCACTGGGACTCCAAACTGCACTCAGTTGGGTGTCGTGGTTAAGTGCGTGGACTCTAATCCGGGAGAACCGGGTTTGATTCCCCACTTCTCCACATGCAGCAGCTGGTGCGACCTTGGGTCAGTCACAAGTTTCCTTAGAGCTGTTTTCTCAAGGGCAGTTCTTGAAAGAACTCTCTCTAATCCGGGAGAACCGGGTTTGATTCCCCACTCCTCCACATGCAGCTGCTGGTGTGACCTTGGGTCAGTCACAAGTCCCCTTAGAGCTGTTTTCTCAAGGGCAGTTCTTGAAAGAGCTCTCTCAGCCCCACCTACCTCACAGGGTGTCTGTTGTGGGGAGTGGAAGTGAAAGGAGATTGTAAGCCGCTCTGAGATTCCTTTGGGTAGTGAAGGGCGGAGTATAAATCCAATCTCTTCTTCTTCTTCTTCCTTGAACGGGTGTCTCTCTTTGTCTTAATCTGGGAGCTGCCCTCTGACCCCTCCCCTCTCTCTCTCACTTTATCCTCTCACTCTCTCAACATGGCCTTCCATGGAGACATATGACTCTCCCTGCAGGTCTCGCCTGTAGAGCCAATGCCCTCACACTCCCACACACATGATGCCGGACAAGCTGGCCATTGGTGATAGGGAAAGTACTCTTTAGAGCAGGCTTCTATCTCCTTTGGACTGCAACCTGAATGTGAACTGGATCTACTTGAATAAATGTACATTTACATTTTTTTTTGCAATATGCTTCTTGGGAGATTTATTTACTGCACTCAGTATCACGCTTCAGTGATTGGGTAGAACTCTTGTTGTTGTTGTTCAGTCGCACAGTCGAGTCCGACTCTTTGCGACCCCATGGACCAGCTCCCGCCAGGCCTTCCCGTCTTCCACCGTCCTCTGAAGTTTGCTCAATTTCATGTTCGTTGCATCTATGACACTGTCTAACCATCTCATCCTTTGCCGTCCCCGTCTTCTTTGACCTTCAATCTTTCTCAGCATCAGGGTCTTCTCCAGTGAGTGCTCCCTTCTCATTGGGTGGCCAAAGTCTTTGAGCTTCAGTTTCATTATCTGGCCTTCCAGGGAACAGTCAGGGTTGATTACTTTTAGGATTGACTGATGTGATCTTCTTGCAGTCCAAGGGACTCTCAAGAGTCTTCTCCAGCATCATAGTTCAAAAGAATCTATTCTTCGGCGCTCGGCCTTCCTTATAGTCCAACTCTCGCAGCCATACATGACTACTGGGAATACCATTGCTTTGACCATGCGGACTTTTGTTGGCAGGGTGATGTCTCTACTTTTTGTTTAGGTTCACCATCGCTTTCCTCCCAAGGAGCAGGAATCTTTTAATTTCATGGCTGCAGTCACAGTCTGCGGTGATCTGGGATTCCAGGAACGTGAAGTCTTTCACTACTTCCACGACTTCCCCTTCTACTTGCCAAGGAGTGATGGGGCCGGATGCCATGATCTTAGTTTTTTTGATGTTGAGCTTCAAGCCCACAATATCCCACTACTGAGATGGTGGGAAAGTTTCAGTGTTCAGGTTATTTGGTGTGCCAGCAATAGCCACTGGTGGTGGCTTTAAGCGTTGGTGCAAGTATAAGGTTGCTAGGCTGAGCCTGGCAACCAGCAGGAAGGGTGGGGATGGGGATATGGGGTTGTGTGTGTCATTGCTGATGTCACTAGGTGATGTCACTTCTGGTGACCTCAGCAAGGGGCTTTCGAGGCAAGTGAGAAGCAGGTGTGAGAGAAAGATCTAAAAAGCGACATCGTCAATGCGGCTACATCACTTTTGGGTGAAAACCGGAAGAGACAAAAGGGTAGCTCTAGGAATCACCAGAAACTCTATAGTAAAACCACAGAGTTTCCGTTGATTCCTAGAGCAACCCCATGTCCCTACTGGATTTTACCAGAAAATGACATAGCAACATCAGTGATGTTGCTTTTAATATTCTTCTTGCACCACTGCTGTAAGCGGGGGCAAGCAATGGGGCTTGACAGTGGGAGGCCTCTCGCCATAGCAACTACACTGGTGAGAGAAAGTCAGACTTGTCTCAGAGATGCCCCGAGTCCCTGCTGCTGTCTGACTGTTGATTCTCACGACTCCACAGAATGGCAGGGCGAGAAAC